AGTTTTACGCTTGGTTGGCCGAAAACAGTTTTAACCCTTCTTCCCTTTCAAAAGCCCCCAAATTTTCCTTCCTTGGCTCCAACGTTTTCTTCCCGAAAACATTTTAAACCCTTTTCTGCACAGTTTACCCCCTTCCTTTTCCCAACAAATTTCCCTTCTTCCCCCCCCCGGGAACCCCGTTTAAAAACCCCTTTCCCCTTTTGCAACAGGGTTTTCCCCTTTTTCCCGCAACAGTTTTAACCCTTCCTTTTGCAAACCCCCTTTCCCCCCTTCCCCCCCTGCAAAAGTTTTCCCTTCCCCTTCCGCCCCTTCAGTTTTCCTTCCCCTTTTGCAAAGTTTACCCTTTTTCTGATCATTTTACCTTCCTGCAACATTTAACCCTTTTTCTGCAACAGTTTTCCCTTTTTCTGCAACCCGTTTTTTTTTCTTCCCGGGGAACCCGTTTCCCCTTTTTCTGCAACGTTTTTCCCTTTTTCTGCAACAGTTTTCCCCTTTTTCTGCCCCAAAAGTTTTCCTTCTTCTGCACAGTTTCCCCTTTTTCTGCAAAAGTTTTTTTTCTTCTGCAACATTTACCCTTTTTTCTGGGAAAAGTTTACCTTCTTCTTCCAGTTTCCCCCCCCTTTTCATCAGTTTACCTTTTTTCTTGGGAAAAAGTTTTCCCCCTTTTGCAACCCCGTTTACCCCTTTTTCTTGCAACCCCGTTTACCTTCTTCTGCAAAATTTTTTCCCTTTTTCGCATCGTTTACCCCTTTTTCCGCAAAATTTACCCCCTTCTGCAAACCCGTTAATTTTAAATTTACCCCTTTTTGTTTAATACCCCCTTTTTCTGGAACAGTTTACCTTTTTTTCTGCAACAGTTTACCTTCTTCGCAACAGTTTCCCCTTTTTCTGGGAACATTTTCCTTTTTTTGCAACAGTTTTCCTTTTTCTGGCAACATTTTCCCTTTTTCTCAGCAGTTTTCCTTCTTTTTCCCCGCAGTTTCCCTTTTTTCTGCATTTATTTCCTTCTTCGCCAAGTTTTCCCTTTTTCTGCAAAAATTTTCCCTTCTTCGCAACAGTTTTTCCTTCTTTTGCAACAGTTTTTCCTTTTTCTGCAACTTTTAAAACCCCTTCTGCAGCAGTTTACCCTTTTTTCTGCAGCGTTTCCCTTTTTCTGCTTTTAGTTTTTTCCCTTTTTCTGCAGGGAGTTTTCCTTTTTTGCAACAGTTTACCTTCTTCTGCATCAGTTTACCTTCTTCTGCATCAGTTTACCTTCTTCTGCAACAGTTTTCCTTCTTCTGCAACAGTTTCCCTTCTTCTGCATCAGTTTACCTTCTTCTGCATCAGTTTACCTTCTTCTGCAACAGTTTACCTTCTTCTGCAACAGTTTACCTTCTTCTGCAACAGTTTACCTTCTTCTGCAACAGTTTACCTTCTTCTGCAACAGTTTCCCTTCTTCTGCATCAGTTTACCTTCTTCTGCAACAGTTTACCTTCTTCTGCAACAGTTTACCTTCTTCTGCAACAGTTTACCTTCTTCTGCATCAGTTTACCTTCTTCTGCAACAGTTTACCTTCTTCTGCAGCAGTTTACCTTCTTCTGCAACAGTTTCCCTTCTTCTGCAACAGTTTCCCTTCTTCTGCAACAGTTTACCTTCTTCTGCAACAGTTTACCTTCTTCTGCAACAGTTTCCCTTCTTCTGCATCAGTTTACCTTCTTCTGCAACAGTTTACCTTCTTCTGCAACAGTTTACCTTCTTCTGCAACAGTTTCCCTTCTTCTGCAACAGTTTACCTTCTTCTGCATCAGTTTACCTTCTTCTGCAACAGTTTACCTTCTTCTGCAACAGTTTACCTTCTTCTGCAACAGTTTACCTTCTTCTGCAACAGTTTCCCTTCTTCTGCATCAGTTTACCTTCTTCTGCAACAGTTTACCTTCTTCTGCATCAGTTTACCTTCTTCTGCAACAGTTTCCCTTCTTCTGCAACAGTTTACCTTCTTCTGCAACAGTTTACCTTCTTCTGCAACAGTTTACCTTCTTCTGCAGCAGTTTACCTTCTTCTGCATCAGTTTACCTTCTTCTGCAACAGTTTCCCTTCTTCTGCATCAGTTTACCTTCTTCTGCATCAGTTTACCTTCTTCTGCAACAGTTTCCCTTCTTCTGCAGCAGTTTACCTTCTTCTGCAACAGTTTCCCTTCTTCTGCAACAGTTTACCTTCTTCTGCAGCAGTTTCCCTTCTTCTGCAACAGTTTACCTTCTTCTGCAACAGTTTCCCTTCTTCTGCAACAGTTTTCCTTCTTCTGCATCAGTTTCCCTTCTTCTGCAGCAGTTTACCTTCTTCTGCATCAGTTTACCTTCTTCTGCAACAGTTTCCCTTCTTCTGCATCAGTTTCCCTTCTTCTGCATCAGTTTACCTTCTTCTGCATCAGTTTACCTTCTTCTGCAACAGTTTACCTTCTTCTGCAGCAGTTTACCTTCTTCTGCAACAGTTTACCTTCTTCTGCAACAGTTTACCTTCTTCTGCAACAGTTTCCCTTCTTCTGCATCAGTTTCCCTTCTTCTGCAGCAGTTTACCTTCTTCTGCATCAGTTTACCTTCTTCTGCAACAGTTTCCCTTCTTCTGCATCAGTTTACCTTCTTCTGCAGCAGTTTACCTTCTTCTGCAACAGTTTCCCTTCTTCTGCATCAGTTTACCTTCTTCTGCAACAGTTTACCTTCTTCTGCATCAGTTTACCTTCTTCTGCAACAGTTTACCTTCTTCTGCATCAGTTTACCTTCTTCTGCATCAGTTTACCTTCTTCTGCAACAGTTTACCTTCTTCTGCAACAGTTTACCTTCTTCTGCAGCAGTTTACCTTCTTCTGCAACAGTTTCCCTTCTTCTGCAGCAGTTTACCTTCTTCTGCATCAGTTTACCTTCTTCTGCAACAGTTTCCCTTCTTCTGCATCAGTTTACCTTCTTCTGCAACAGTTTACCTTCTTCTGCAGCAGTTTCCCTTCTTCTGCAACAGTTTCCCTTCTTCTGCAGCAGTTTACCTTCTTCTGCAACAGTTTCCCTTCTTCTGCAACAGTTTACCTTCTTCTGCATCAGTTTACCTTCTTCTGCAGCAGTTTACCTTCTTCTGCAACAGTTTACCTTCTTCTGCATCAGTTTCCCTTCTTCTGCAACAGTTTACCTTCTTCTGCAACAGTTTACCTTCTTCTGCAACAGTTTCCCTTCTTCTGCAGCAGTTTACCTTCTTCTGCAACAGTTTACCTTCTTCTGCAGCAGTTTACCTTCTTCTGCATCAGTTTACCTTCTTCTGCAACAGTTTTCCTTCTTCTTCTGCAACAGTTTACCTTCTTCTGCAGCAGTTTACCTTCTTCTGCAACAGTTTACCTTCTTCTGCAGCAGTTTCCCTTCTTCTGCATCAGTTTACCTTCTTCTGCAACAGTTTTCCTTCTTCTGCAGCAGTTTACCTTCTTCTGCTGATGGTCCGGTGAATATTTCGATGTTGACTCCCTGCTTTAAAATTATTTGGTTCCCAAAGGAGAATGAGAATAATTCAGCTCTGATCTTGATCTGTAATTTTAACATGTAGTCAAAAAGGAAACAAACTTATTTTTAAACAATCAACTCTATATTGACACCGTTAGAGACCGTGCTAGCGTGGCTAGTCATGCTGACCTCCACCAACTTCTCAGCATATCGGCTTGGAAAGGAGCTCAGATGGGAATAAAAGTTTAGAATCAAGCAGGTATCGTAGCAGCCATTCAAAGTGGTCGTTCCCAGTCAAACGCCAGCCGAATGGCAGCCCACTTCCCTGGAAATCCCAGCAGAATTCCCTCCAACTTCCAGCCACTGGAGTGATGCCCTCCTTCTCCTGGGCCTGCAAATTTCCCTAAATTGCAGGGTCTGATCAGGACATGATGCTTCTCTTTTGATCTTAATGTCCACAAATCATGAGAAAAAGAATATTTAAGTGCAAAGATTGATGTTTAAAAATGAATTGTATGGGACCAGCCAAGGACCAACCAAGAACTATCCAAGGGCCAGCCAAGGACCAGCCAAGAACTAGCCAAGGACCAGCCAAGAACTAGCCAAGGGCCAGCCAAGAACCAGCCAAGGACCAGCCAAGAACCAGCCACGGACCAGCCAAGAACTAGCCAAGGACCAGCCAAGAACTAGCCAAGGACCAGCCAAGAACTAGCCAAAGGCCAGCCAAGAACTAGCCAAGAACCAGCCAAGGGCCAGCCAAGAACTAGCCAAGGGCCAGCCAAGAACCAGCCAAGGACCAGCCAAGTACCAGCCAAGAACTAGCCAAGGACCAGCCAAGAACTAGCCAAAGGCCAGCCAAGAACTAGCCAAGAACCAGCCAAGTACCAGCCAAGAACTAGCCAAGGACCAGCCAAGAACTAGCCAAAGGCCAGCCAAGAACTAGCCAAGAACCAGCCAAGAACTAGCCAAGGGCCAGCCAAGAACTAGCCAAGGGCCCGCCAAGAACTAGCGAAGGACCAGCCAAGAACTAGCCAAGGGCCAGCCAAGAACTAGCCAAGAACCAGCCAAGGGCCGGCCAAGGGCAAGCTAAGGACCAGAGAAATAAAGTGGGGACATTTTGAATGACTACTACTGTAACTACGGATGTGATGTAAAAACTTAAGCAAAAGAAAAGCTATTGAGTTTTTTTAAGCTATTGAGTTCTAACAACATTAACAGCCTTCAGAGGATAATAAAGGGCATCAATGAAGCATGGCTCTAATGCAGCCTGAACTGTTCTCTCCCAGAAAACACTGTTGCATTATGGGCAACAGGATGTGCACCTGGAAGCAGAGACATGTGACTCCATGAAAGTCACACGACCTTGCAGGTAATTCAAGGAAACGGTTCATTCAAACATCTGGCCTTGAATTTTCCAAACTAAAGGGTTTGAAAAGCTGAACTGAAGTTGACCCAGAGCTGTGGATTGAATATTTCCTGATGAACGGCTGGAACAACATGATAACTGGGACTGATGAGCTTTTCTCTGTTCTTTTTCTCGTTGTTCTCTGCAGCTGCTGGTGAAGAACCTGCAGTTTGAGGACGGGAAGATGATCCCTGCGGCGCAGTACTTCCGCTCCGGCAGCAGTGCAGCAGTTGAGCTCACTGAGGAGGAGAAAAGCTTCGCCGAGCAGATGAGGGTAAGGTTAGGAACATCAAGCTTATGGACGGCTAAAGCTGACGGCTGCTACTGAGGCCGCCATATACCTGCTGTCATTCCTTCTAGTTGTTGGAATGTGAACTAATGACCAGGGGAGCACTGTGATGATGCTGATGTGTCTAAATCTGAGATAGAAATACAAAAATAAAATAAAACAGGCTTATTCATCTCTCATACAACCAATATGTAAAAATGGACAATATCTGATCCAATATCTGAAAGATATTAATCAGTTATCAGATTTAATCATTTATTTCTGATTGTGGATTTGAGGTGTTACTTTTACATATCAGTTAAAGGAATAGTACACCCAAAACATGATTAGCCTTCATTTTCTACTCACCCCCATGCTGAACAACACTCTGGAGTACTTTTTTGATATCTCAAATGCATCTGGAGATCTGGGAGGCTTCTTGCTGTCTGCTGACATTCAAATAATGGAGGTCTATGGCGCCCGAGGCAGAAAGGTCCATAAAAGTCCACAAAAAACGTGTCAATATTCCTCCATACTGCTCGTCCAATGTATTCCAAGTGTCCTGAGTGGGTAGCGTCCATAATTTACTCGAAACGAAGTCATTTAGAATGTTTTTAGAGCATAAACAGTAGTGTATAGGATTTCCTGAAAGCGCATTCACGAGTCTACGGAAACCGCGGCAGACCAAACCAGATGAAAGTGCGCATTCAGCTCGGCAAAGAACTCATGCTCTTCCTCAACACTGAAGTCCTCAGACATTTTTCTTTCGTTGTTTCTTTCTTTGCACAGGTAAACAGCACATTTCTTCTTCTACGCTTGCATTATCGGCAGAGCAGACGCTGAATGCGCACTTTCATCTGGTTTGGTCTGCCGGCTTCCGTAGAGTCGTGAACTCGCAGGCGACTAAATTCGTTTCGAGTAAATTATGGACGCTACCCACTCAGGACACTTGGAATACATTGGACGAGCAGTATGGAGGAATATTGACACGTTTTTTGTGGACTTTTATGGACCTTTCTGCCTCGGGCGCCATAGACCTCCATTATTTGAATGTCAGCAGACAGCAAGAAGCCTCCCAGATCTCCAGATGCATTTGAGATATCAAAAAAGTACTCCAGAGTGTTGTTCAGCATGGGGGTGAGTAGAAAATGAAGGCTAATCATGTTTTGGGTGTACTATTCCTTTAAGGAATGGTCATATTTAAATAACTATTATTTTACATTTCAGTGGAATTATAAAATATCAATTAGATGCATTCAGTGCGACTCATATTTTACAATCTCTATACTCCAATTAACAATTAATCAAATTCTAAATTAGTTAACGATTATGTCAATAATAAATGAATCCGATTGTTTCAACCCTAGTATAAACATTTTAGATTTCAAGTGGACAAAAAATGTAACATTAATTGATTCTATGGTATATTTATGTGTTTGATGATATATTTAGCCCTCTGTACCAAGGGATCACATAACAAAGATGATGAAAAACTAAAAGAGAGAATCAACAGTCTGCAGGGCCGGGACTCGAACCTGCGACAACTGGAATCTGGGTCACAAGCTCTACCTCCACATGCTCAAGCTCAAGGGAAAGGGCAGCAAAGTGTTTTGACAGCATCCTGCTGAACTCTTTATTAATGAAATATAATGATTATTTAAAACATTTTGATTAGTTTCCAAAGTTAGCATTAGCCTAGCAGGTCAGTGAAATGATCCGACTTTCCCCAATTAGGTCAATTTGAAACACTAAGATACAGAAAAAAGAAAATAATCCAATGCTGGTTCACAAACAGTTTTCCTATAATTTCAACCTTGACTGAAAATGTAGTTTTATTCCTCAGATGTCTAGTGTCTCTAATTAGCATCATACCTACATTTTAAACTGATCATAGGAACAATGGTCAAATAATAACATCTCTTTAATTTAGTTTGCTGCTAAATATTTGTATTTATCAAAATAAAATAATGTTATTTAACTCACCCTCTTTACATTTAGGGCTTTTATTTAACAAAATCTAAATCTTAAATATAAATATATATATATATATATATATACATATAAATAATATGTAATATCTTTCACATATAGATTAAGATCTTTAAATATAAATAAATGTGAGAATAAGTTAAGAATATATGACTATAACGAGATTTATCATTATATTTACCAACCAATCTTTGAAAAAAAAAAAAAAGAAGCTCTAAATGTGAAGGAAAACAGAAATTTAAACATTAGTTTTGCCAGATGTTTCCTTTAGCGCTCTTTATATTTGACTTCAGTTTGATTTCAGAAACGTAAATGATGCGGTTTTTGTAGAAGTTGTATAAAAATGTTTTCTTCCCCATCAGGCCGTGTGGAAGAGTATCCTGACCAACGTGAGTCAGGTTGAAGACTCCACGGATTTCTTCAAATCTGGAGCTGCTTCGATGGACGTAGTCAGGTGATAAAAATTCCCCTCAAACTGTCTGACGCACCGAAAACAACCAGGAGTTAAACGTTAAAATAAGAGTTTAACGGAATGGGATGTAATAATTCAATAAGATGTTGAGTTATTACATTTAATTTTAATGGTATATTTAATATTTAATGAATAAATAATTCCATGGTTTAATTATGTTTTTATATTTCATATACCGGGTCCCCATCTGTTGTGTCCTGGCCCCCCACAGGGTCCTGACCCCGCTTTGGGTAGCCCGGTTTTAAAGCATGAGGTTAAAGTCGAAGTAGAGACTGTCTTCTTGGCATCTCCTGTCCTCATCCTCATCTTCTCCAACCTTCAGGCTGGTGGAGGAAGTCAAGCTCCGCGCCAGCAGCTGCCAGCTGCAGAACGAGGACGTCTACATGAACACCACCTTCCAGGATTTCATCCAGATGTGTGTCAGGAAGCTGCGTGGCGAGGATGAGGAGGAGGAGCTGGTGGTGGACTATGTAGGTACCTGCTGAGCCACGGGGAACCAATGCTGACGGACTTCTAATCGTCCTTTTCCTTCTTAGGTGGAAAAGAATATCAACAACATGACTGTAAAGATCCCCCATCAGCTGTTCATCAACGGAGAGTTTGTTGATGCTGAGGGAGGGAAGACCTACAAGAGCATCAACCCCACCGACGGCACGGTGAGACCAACACAGCGACTTTAGGAGCGATTCTAAACGATGGAGTGCGCTCCTCCGCTTCGGCCCGCTCTGTGTTTATAACTGCAGCTTCCTGTGTCTGCAGGCCATCTGTGAGGTGTCTCTGGCCCAAACCAGTGATGTGGACAAGGCAGTGGCTGCTGCTAAGGAGGCGTTTGAAGACGGCGAATGGGGCAAGATGAACCCAAGGGACAGAGGCAGGCTGATCTACAGGTGGGTGACCCCATGGTGTCTAAATGCCCCAATCCACGACCCTCCAAAAACGATCTGTAACGAGTTCAGACCGAGCTTGGGTCAGTTAACCGTGCCAACCTCGGTTCTTACTACTATTTACACATCACGCTAGCACGGTTATTCGCCTCCTATCGGCAGACCACCATGCTACACCTCTCAAGGCGGGAATTACGCAAACAAAAATGGCGGCAGCCAGAACATTCAGGAACTTGTAGGCCTGGATAATATCCTCCGCCCAAATGTCAATGAGAGCCTCGGTCTCGGCATCATCCCAGGGTGCACCGCACTCTTTTGATGTCATTTAGTGTTAATAAACTGAGAAGACGTTCATGTTGCGAACATTTGAAGAGATCTGTGGTTTACAAAGCTAGATGCGCTGAAAAGCTGCAAAATGAGTCAGCTGACTGAGGCGGTCTGCTTAAAGTAGTTAATCTCATGCTGGGAAAACAGTTTGAACAGGTTTTTAAGTGAGAAAGTCCACCTCCAAACATTGTCTGTTCATCAGTTCATCAGGATTATAATCCCACAAAAACCTGCAGTTCTTGTTGGAGGCTCCAGACCTCCAGCATAGCGCCGGGAGACAGTGAATAGAAAGAGTTTTAATGGTTTGAGGTAAAAACTGCAAAAACCAGAATATACAATCCAATATTTTTCATCAGCAGGTTTTAACATTTCTCCCTAATTTTAGGTTTTTATAAACTATTTCACCATAGTTCATAAACGGATTTTTAGTGCAGCAATAATAATCAGAGCTGCTCTCTGTTCCTTCTACATAACAATCCATTCTTCCAGCGTTATTTAACCTTTGGAGTTGAACTCCTCGATATTTATTGATTTTTCATCTGCAGAATGTCTGCAGAAGCGATGACAGCTTGCAGGTAGAGTCTGTCCTCCCCCAGAAAACTCCTGGTTCAGCTTTTCTGATTGGCCGAAGCTCCGTGGTCCAGCTGCAAAAGTTCAATTTACTGAAATCCAGCGTTGAATGGTTGAACATGCCGCTGAACCCGTCAACGCCGTCTCCAATGAACTCTGCATATAAAGCAGACGCTTTGATGCCCAAAATGTGCCCGTTGTGAACGGGCATCAGGTTTATCAGGTAGCGCTGATCTGCCAATGGAAATACTGTTTAAATAGGAGAATTCAATATTATCACCTTCAATTCTATTCAGTTTATTTCTATAGCTCCAATTCACAACACGTCATCTCAAGGCACTTTCCAGTTCAACCAGAACATCCAGTCAGATTGATTCAAAGTTTTCTATCTAAGGAAAAGCAGTTGATTGCATTGAGTCATTGACTCAAATACAATCCCTCACACTAAGCATGCTTGTAGCGACAGTGGAGAGGAAAAACTCCCTTTGAACAGGAAGAAACCTCCAGTAGAACCAGGCTCAGTGTGAGCGGCCATCTGCTGAGGCCCACTGGGGTTCAAGGAGACAGAAGGGTTTAGCTGCTCAAACTGAGGGAAAATGGACTCACCTATAATTGAGTGGGTCTTTAGCTGCACGCTAAAGTCGAGGCCACTCGTCGCTGTCTCCTGTTCCAGGCCAAAGCAGCTGATGTCCGCTCTCCGCTTCTCTCCCATCCTCCCACAGACTGGCCGACCTCATGGAGGAGCACCAGGAGGAGCTAGCTACCATTGAAGCTATCGACTCTGGAGCCGTTTACACCTTGGCCCTTAAGACTCACGTCGGCATGTCCATCCAGACGTTCCGATATTTCGCCGGCTGGTGCGACAAGATCCAGGTAAAATCACGGACTTCCTTAGAGCCAGACACGCCCCATCTTCAGGTCGGAGCTTAAGATTATACTTCCTCGTTATTTTCAGGGCAGCACCATCCCCATCAACCAGGCCAGACCCAATCGGAACCTGACCTTCACCAAAAAGGAACCAATGGGGTGAGACAATGTTCTGATGGGTTGATGTTGATTAGACCCAGGGTTCTTAAAGAGGCACAACCAACAAAAATCTGTGGAAAAGACAACATGATTTACATCCCAATGATGTCTTTAGTTGAAAAGTGAAAGTTGTAATTTTCAGATCGTTGTAAAGATGCTGGAAATGGGTTTGTAACTTATTTTTAACGTCTATTATTGGACTATCCAATAATAGACGGGAGGAGGGTAAAAACATAGGATCAGGATAAATATACCACAGAATAAGTAGATATTACATTTATTCATTTGTCTAATACACAATTCATATATTAAATATTTATATACTGTGAAATAATTGAAAATATTTAAATTAACCATCATTTGAAAAATAAATATATGACTGTATGAATAAATACAGAGTGAAGTAATTCTGTGCATTTTTAAGGAGCTGCAGTTTGTAGCATTGTTATTTTTGCGTAGACTAATATTGCGATTACGATTTTATTGCGATAATCCTTTGCACTAAGCACAAGCATGTCGACATGTTACTCCAAGGTTTCTGTTTTTTCATTACCTTGAAAGCCAGAGTCCAGTGTTGTATAGATCTAGGTGGTAGCTGCATACATCTAGGTGGTAGCTGCATAGGTCTAGGTGGTAGCTGCATAGATCTAGGTGGTAGCTGTATAGATCTAGGTGGTAGCTGCATAGGTCTAGGTGGTAGCTGCATAGGTCTAGGTGGTAGCTGCATAGGTCTAGGTGGTAGCTGCATAGGTCTAGGTGGTAGCTGCATAGATCTAGGTGGTAGCTGCATAGGTCTAGGTGGTAGCTGCATAGATCTAGGTGGTAGCTGCATAGGTCTAGGTGGTAGCTGCATAGGTCTAGGTGGTAGCTGCATAGATCTAGGTGGTAGCTGCATAGGTCTAGGTGCTAGCTGCATAGGTCTAGGTGGTAGCTGCATAGATCTAGGTTGTAGCTGCATAGATCTAGGTGGTAGCTGCATAGATCTAGGTGGTAGCTGCATAGGTCTAGGTGGTAGCTGCATAGATCTAGGTGGTAGCTGCATAGATCTAGGTGGTAGCTGCATAGGTCTAGGTGGTAGCTGCATAGATCTAGGTGGTAGCTGCATAGGTCTAGGTGCTAGCTGCATAGGTCTAGGTGCTAGCTGCATAGATCTAGGTGCTAGCTGCATAGATCTAGGTGGTAGCTGCATAGGTCTAGGTGCTAGCTGCATAGGTCTAGGTGGTAGCTGCATAGATCTAGGTTGTAGCTGCATAGATCTAGGTGGTAGCTGCATAGATCTAGGTGGTAGCTGCATAGGTCTAGGTGGTAGCTGTATAGATCTAGGTGGTAGCTGCATAGGTCTAGGTGCTAGCTGCATAGGTCTAGGTGCTAGCTGCATAGGTCTAGGTGCTAGCTGCATAGGTCTAGGTGGTAGCTGCATACATCTAGGTGGTAGCTGCATAGGTCTAGGTGCTAGCTGCATAGATCTAGGTGGTAGCTGCATAGGTCTAGGTGCTAGCTGCATAGGTCTAGGTGCTAGCTGCATAGGTCTAGGTGCTAGCTGCATAGGTCTAGGTGGTAGCTGCATACATCTAGGTGGTAGCTGCATAGGTCTAGGTGCTAGCTGCATAGGTCTAGGTGGTAGCTGCATAGGTCTAGGTGGTAGCTGCATAGGTCTAGGTGGTAGCTGTATAGATCTAGGTGGTAGCTGCATAGATCTAGGTGGTAGCTGCATAGATCTAGGTGGTAGCTGCATAGGTCTAGGTGGTAGCTGTATAGATCTAGGTGGTAGCTGCATAGGTCTAGGTGCTAGCTGCATAGGTCTAGGTGCTAGCTGCATAGGTCTAGGTGCTAGCTGCATAGGTCTAGGTGGTAGCTGCATACATCTAGGTGGTAGCTGCATAGGTCTAGGTGCTAGCTGCATAGATCTAGGTGGTAGCTGCATAGGTCTAGGTGCTAGCTGCATAGGTCTAGGTGCTAGCTGCATAGGTCTAGGTGCTAGCTGCATAGGTCTAGGTGGTAGCTGCATACATCTAGGTGGTAGCTGCATAGGTCTAGGTGCTAGCTGCATAGGTCTAGGTGCTAGCTGCATAGGTCTAGGTGGTAGCTGCATAGGTCTAGGTGGTAGCTGTATAGGTCTACCGGGCCGGATTTTAGCAGGGGCTTACCGGGGCTGCAGCCCGGGGCCCCAGCATTTCGAGGGCCCCGAAGGATGTTTTATATTTTTGTGAATGGATAGTGTCAGAATTTACCGTATTTTCACGACTATAAAGCGCACATAAACGTCACATAAACGAGTCAAAATGTGCGGTACGCCCTATGTGTGTTGTAACTGCGACTTTTGAGACCCCCTCATTGAGAAGATGATGAAAGGAGACCGGGTGGTTTTTTTCCACTCATCAACATCGCTGTTAATATGTAACTCCATGCGTGCCCACCCATCTCACAGCTGATTAGAAAAACATGGTGAAACAAATTAACCCTGTGCTCGCTGTTATTCAACCGCTCGACATTGGTGTGAACCGGACGCAGCAGGTGCAGCAGAAGTAGCGAGTTTACATGCAAAGTCAATGGTTGACGGACGTATAGGTGCAGCAAAAGGTCCTGCAGCGCGTTTTGAGCAGCAGGCGCAGCGCGTCGGGAGCGTTTAAGCATCTGACGCGCTGCTGCTGCTCGAGATGGAAAAATTAAAGTTTTGCTTCTGGAAGCACCGCATCAACCAATCAGAGAAGCTGATCTGGGAGCTGACAGCGAGACAGACACAGCGCTCTGATGACATATGATATTAAGGCAAATGAAAAGGGCTGGATGGATGAGGAGATGATGAAAGCGTAGCTGAGGCAGGTGTATGTGAGGAGACCAGGTGTTTTTTTCCACGCATCACCATCGCTGTTAATCTGTCACCCATCTCACAGCCGATGTGAAAAACAAATCAAATCAAATGAGCACAACGAATCAAATGAACGCTGTGCTCGCCGTTATCCCGGGAACCTTTTGACATGAGGGTTAAAATTATGTTAAAAGAACTTTGGGGCTGTAAAATAATTTGAAAACAAACTTGGTCTTTTTTAAAGTTTATCTGCTAAATTAAAGTAAAAATTTTAATGATTGTAGATACAAAACAAAGATTGTGCATGTCTGCATTATAAGACAGGCTCAAAGTTTCAAACTTTTCAGGGTTTAGTATTGTTTTCTTATTTGGTTTGCGTTTGAGTAAATGTACAGTATTTTCACGACTATAAGGCGCACTTAAACGTCTTTTTTTTCCCTCAAAATGTGCGGTGCGCCCTATGGTGCGGTGCGCCTTATGTGTGTTGTAACTGCGACTTTTGAGACCACCTCATTGAGGAGATGATGAAAGAGTGGCTGAATGTAAGGAGACCAGGTGTTTTTTTTTCACTCATCACCATCGCTGTTAATATGTAACTCCATGTGTGCCCATCTCACAGCTGATGTGAAAAACATGGGGAAACAAATTAACGCTGTGCTCGCTGTTCAACCGCTGGACATCGGTGTGAACCGGACCCAGCAGGTGCAGCAGAAGCAGCGAGTTTACATGCAAAGTCAATGGTTGACGCGCGTATAGGTGCAGCAAAAGGTCCTGCAGCGCGTTTTGAGCTGCAGGTGCAGCACGTCGGAAGCGTTTAAGCATCTAACGCACCGCCAACGCGCTGCTGCTCGAGATGGAAAAATTTAAGTTTTCCTGCTGGACGCGCCGCATCAACCAATCAGAGAAGCTGATCTGGGAGCTGACAGCGAGACAGACACATCGCTCTGATGACGTATGATATTAACGCAAAGGAAAAAGGCTGGATGGATGAGGAGATGATGAAAGGCAGGTGTATGTGAGGAGACCAGGTGGTTTTTTCCACGCATCACCATCGCTGCGTGCCCATCTCACAGCCGATGTGGAAAAAAAGGTGAATCAAATGAACGCTGTGCTCGCCGTTATCCCGGGGGTCTGACAAAGGAGCTTCAACCGCTCGACATATTTTTGACTCCAGCCCAGGGGCCCCCATCCTCCTAAATCCGGCCCTGTAGGTCTAGGTGGTAGCTGCATAGATCTACGTGGTAGCTGCATAGATCTAGGTGGTAGCTGCATAGATCTAGGTGGTAGCTGCATAGGTCTAGGTGCTAGCTGTATAGATCTAGGTGGTAGCTGCATAGATCTAGGTGGTAGCTGCATAGATCTAGGTGGTAGCTGTATAGATCTAGGTGCTAGCTGTATAGATCTACGTGGTAGCTGCATAGATCTAGGTGGTAGCTGCATAGATCTAGGTGGTAGCTGCATAGGTCTAGGTGCTAGCTGCATAGGTCTAGGTGCTAGCTGCATAGGTCTAGGTGCTAGCTGTATAGATCTAGGTGGTAGCTGTATAGACCTAGGTGGTAGCTGCATAGATCTAGGTGGTAGCTGCATAGGTCTAGGTGCTAGCTGTATAGATCTAGGTGGTAGCTGCATAGGTCTAGGTGGTAGCTGCATAGATCTAGGTGGTAGCTGCATAGGTCTAGGTGCTAGCTGCATAGATCTAGGTGCTAGCTGCATAGATCTAGGTGGTAGCTGCATAGGTCTAGGTGGTAGCTGCATAGGTCTAGGTGGTAGCTGCATAGATCTAGGTGGTAGCTGCATAGGTCTAGGTGGTAGCTGTATAGATCTAGGTGGTAGCTGCATAGGTCTAGGTGGTAGCTGCATAGGTCTAGGTGCTAGCTGCATAGGTCTAGGTGGTAGCTGCATAGATCTAGGTGGTAGCTGCATAGATCTAGGTGGTAGCTGCATAGGTCTAGGTGGTACCTGCATAGGTCTAGGTGGTAGCTGTATAGATCTAGGTGGTAGCTGCATAGGTCTAGGTGGTAGCTGTATAGGTCTAGGTGCTAGCTGCATAGGTCTAGGTGGTACCTGCATAGGTCTAGGTGGTAGCTGTATAGATCTAGGTGCTAGCTGCATAGATCTAGGTGGTAGCTGCATAGGTCTAGGTGGTAGCTGCATAGATCTAGGTGGTAGCTGTATAGATCTAGGTGGTAGCTGCATAGTTCTAGGTGCTAGCTGCATAGGTCTAGGTGGTAGCTGCATAGGTCTAGGTGGTAGCTGCATAGATCTAGGTGGTAGCTGCATAGATCTAGGTGGTAGCTGCATAGGTCTAGGTGGTAGCTGCATAGATCTAGGTGCTAGCTGCATAGGTCTAGGTGGTAGCTGTATAGATCTAGATGCTAGCTGTATAGATCTAGGTTCTAGCTGCATAGATCTAGGTGCTAGCTGAATAGATCTAGATGCTAGCTGTATAGATCTAGGTTCTAGCTGCATAGATCTAGGTGCTAGCTGAATAGATCTAGGTTCTAGCTGAATAGATCTAGGTGCTAGCTGAATAGATCTAGGTTCTAGCTGAATAGATCTAGGTGCTAGCTGAATAGATCTAGGTTCTAGCTGCATAGATCTAGGTTCTAGCTGCATAGATCTAGGTGCTAGCTGAATAGATCTAGGTTCTAGCTGCATAGATCTAGGTGCTAGCTGTATAGATCTAGGTTCTAGCTGCATAGGTCTAGGTGCTAGCTGAATAGATCTAGGTTCTAGCTGCATAGATCTAGGTTCTAGCTGAATAGATCTAGGTTCTAGCTGCATAGATCTAGGTTCTAGCTGCATAGATCTAGGTGGTAGCTGCATAGATCTAGGTTCTAGCTGCATAGATCTAGGTTCTAGCTGAATACATCTAGGTGCTAGCTGAATAGATCTAGGTTCTAGATGCATAGATCTAGGTTCTAGCTGAATACATCTAGGTGCTAGCTGAATAGATCTAGGTTCTAGATGAATAGATCTAGGTTCTAGCTGAATACATCTAGGTGCTAGCTGAATAGATCTAGGTTCTAGATGAATAGATCTAGGTTCTAGCTGCATAGATCTAGGTTCTAGCTGAATACATCTAGGTGCTAGCTGAATAGATCTAGGTTCTAGATGCATAGATCTAGGTGCTAGCAGAATAGATCTAGATTCTAGCTGCATAGATCTTGGTGGTAGCTGCATAGGTCTAGGTGCTAGCTGAATAGATCTAGGTTCTAGCTGCATAGATCTAGGTGCTAGCAGAATAGATCTAGGTTCTAGCTGTATAGATCTAGGTGGTAGCTGTATAGATCTAGGTTCTAGCTGCATAGGTCTAGGTGCTAGCTGAATAGATCTAGGTTCTAGCTGCATAGATCTAGGTGCTAGCAGAATAGATCTAGGTTCTAGCTGTATAGATCTAGGTGGTAGCTGTATAGATCTAGGTTCTAGCTGCATAGGTCTAGGTGCTAGCTGAATAGATCTAGGTTCTAGCTGCATAGATCTAGGTGCTAGCAGAATATATCTAGGTTCTAGCTGCATAGATCTAGGTGCTAGCAGAATAGATCTAGGTTGTAGCTGCATAGATCTAGGTGCTAGCAGAATAGATCTAGGTGGTAGCTGTATAGATCTAGGTTCTAGCTGCATAGGTCTAGGTGCTAGCTGAATAGATCTAGGTTCTAGATGCATAGATCTAGGTGGTAGCTGTATAGATCTAGGTGGTAGCTGTATAGATCTAGGTTGTAGCTGTATAGATCTAGGTGGTAGCTGTATAGATCTAGGTTCTAGCTGTATAGATCTAGGTGCTAGCTGAATAGATCTAGGTTCTAGCTGCATAGATCTAGGTGCTAGCAGAATAGATCTAGGTTCTAGCTGCATAGATCTAGGTGCTAGCAGAATAGATCTAGGTTCTAGCTGCATAGATCTAGGTGCTAGCAGAATAGATCTAGGTTGTAGCTGCATAGATCTAGGTGCTAGCAGAATAGATCTAGGTTGTAGCTGCATAGATCTAGGTGCTAGCTGCATAGGTCTAGGTGCTAGCTGAATAGATCTAAGTTCTAGCTGCATAGATCTAGGTGCTAGCCGAATAGATCTAGGTTCTAGCTGCATAGATCTAGGTGCTAGCAGAATAGATCTAGGTTGTAGCTGCATAGATCTAGGTGCTAGCAGAATAGATCTAGGTGGTAGCTGTATAGATCTAGGTTCTAGCTGCATAGGTCTAGGTGCTAGCTGAATAGATCTAGGTTCTAGATGCATAGATCTAGGTGGTAGCTGTATAGATCTAGGTGGTAGCTGTATAGATCTAGGTGGTAGCTGTATAGATCTAGGTGGTAGCTGTATAGATCTAGGTTCTAGCTGCATAGGTCTAGGTGCTAGCTGAATAGATCTAGGTTCTAGCTGCATAGATCTAGGTGCTAGCAGAATAGATCTAGGTTCTAGCTGCATAGATCTAGGTGCTAGCAGAATAGATCTAGGTTGTAGCTGCATAGATCTAGGTGCTAGCAGAATAGATCTAGGTGGTAGCTGTATAGATCTAGGTTCTAGCTGCATAGGTCTAGGTGCTAGCTGAATAGATCTAGGTTCTAGATGCATAGATCTAGGTGGTAGCTGTATAGATCTAGGTGGTAGCTGTATAGATCTAGGTGGTAGCTGTATAGATCTAGGTTCTAGCTGTATAGATCTAGGTGCTAGCTGAATAGATCTAGGTTCTAGCTGCATAGATCTAGGTGCTAGCAGAATAGATATAGGTTCTAGCTGCATAGATCTAGGTGCTAGCAGAATAGATCTAGGTTCTAGCTGCATAGATCTAGGTGCTAGCAGAATAGATCTAGGTTGTAGCTGCATAGATCTAGGTGCTAGCAGAATAGATCTAGGTTGTAGCTGCATAGATCTAGGTGCTAGCTGCATAGGTCTTGGTGCTAGCTGAATAGATCTAGGTTCTAGCTGCATAGATCTAGGTGCTAGCCGAATAGATCTAGGTTCTAGCTGCATAGATCTAGGTGCTAGCAGAATAGATCTAGGTTGTAGCTGCATAGATCTAGGTGCTAGCAGAATAGATCTAGGTGGTAGCTGTATAGATCTAGGTTCTAGCTGCATAGGTCTAGGTGGTAGCTGTATAGACTTAGACTTAGACTTAGACTTAGACTTCTTTATTTGTCATTTTGTATGCACAGGGTGCATACAGAACGAAATTGCGTTACATACAGCTTATGAACGTTGCATTGATATTTCACAATGGCACGAGTTATAGAAAAATACAAAAAGTGCAGCAGTGGTCAAAGTGTGAACTAGATCTAGGTGGTAGCTGTATAGATCTAGGTGCTAGCTGAATAGATCTAGGTTCTAGATGCATAGATCTAGGTGGTAGCTGTATAGATCTAGGTTCTAGATGCATAGATCTAGGTGGTAGCTGTATAGATCTAGGTGGTAGCTGTATAGATCTAGGTGCTAGCTGAATAGATCTAGGTTCTAGATGCATAGATCTAGGTGGTAGCTGTATAGATCTAGGTGGTAGCTGTATAGATCTAGGTGGTAGCTGTATAGATCTAGATGGTAGCTGTATAGATCTAGGTGCTAGCAGAATAGATCTAGGTTGTAGCTGCATAGATCTAGGTGCTAGCAGAATAGATCTAGGTTGTAGCTGCATAGATCTAGGTGCTAGCTGCATAGGTCTAGGTGCTAGCTGAATAGATCTAGGTTCTAGCTGCATAGATCTAGGTGCTAGCCGAATAGATCTAGGTTCTAGCTGCATAGATCTAGGTGCTAGCAGAATAGATCTAGGTTGTAGCTGCATAGATCTAGGTGCTAGCAGAATAGATCTAGGTGGTAGCTGTATAGATCTAGGTTCTAGCTGCATAGGTCTAGGTGGTAGCTGTATAGATCTAGGTGGTAGCTGTATAGATCTAGGTGCTAGCTGAATAGATCTAGGTTCTAGATGCATAGATCTAGGTGGTAGCTGTATAGATCTAGGTTCTAGATGCATAGATCTAGGTGGTAGCTGTATAGATCTAGGTGCTAGCTGAATAGATCTAGGTTCTAGATGCATAGATCTAGGTGGTAGCTGTATAGATCTAGGTGGTAGCTGTATAGATCTAGGTGGTAGCTGTATAGATCTAGGTGGTAGCTGTATAGATCTAGGTGGTAGCTGTGCAGCTCTACAGAAACAGCAGTTATGTTGTCACTGTCCGCGGGTCATATGATGGTTACAGTCAATGGCATAACTATCGTTAAGCAGAGGCTGCAGTTTCTTAGGGGCCCCCGACCTCTTAGGGGCCCCGTCACTGACACCTGGTGGCCCCCTACGCAATTGTAGACTAGGACGTCTCTTTGCGGATGTAATTGTGCGAAATATTCCTCTGCAACCCTCCTGATAGTGAAGAGACTGAGCTGTTGATGAGCAGTGGAGCGTGGTCAGGCCGCTTCTTCCTGAAGTCCACCATGATCTCCTTGGTCTTCTCCACCTTCAGGATCAGGCTGTTATCTCTGCACCAGTCCGCCGGTTGTTGTCATCACTGATGAGGCCCACCACCGTGGTGTCGTCTGCAAACTTTAAGATAAACAAAATAATCATGTTCTTTCAAAGAACCAAAAAGGGAGAGGTGGACGTTGCTGCTACAGTCAGAAAAGATGGCGACCAGGAGATGAATGGAGAGAGGGTGGGTGAGGAGGGGAGCTGTGAAGCTCAAGCTAGCCTGATGGCTTGTCATGTGGTGGTGCGCTGTCACCAATGGTTCTATTCAAGGTGCGCAGTCACTACTTTTCTGTGTGTGATGTGTGATCATATACTACAGAGAATTGCATAATTGTATCTTCTTGGTCGATTTATGGAACTGTTGCCGTATCCTGAACCTTTATCACGTGTTCTACTTCATATGGGGCCCACCCAGATAATGTTGCTTACGAGCTAATTGTGTCGTTACACCATCGGTTACAGCCCATCAGTGCACCATTACGGCCCAGGTAACCCCCTCCCATGCTTTCCTCAGGGTGTGCGCCATCGTGATTCCCTGGAACTACCCACTGATGATGCTGGCCTGGAAGACGGCCGCCTGCCTGGCGGCGGGGAACACTGTGGTCCTCAAACCGGCTCAGGTAGGATTAGTCCTGTATGCACGCGGACATCCTGAAGATGTCTCCTTCATCTGGATCCTCTGGTTTCCAGGTCACTCCGCTCACGGCGCTGAAGTTTGCTGAACTGGCAGCCAGAGCGGGGCTGCCTAAAGGGGTGGTTAACATCCTGCCTGGATCAGGTATCCCTCAGAGCGCTCGTCATACTCCTGAAGTAAAACTAGACCTTTTCCTGAAGCTTCTCCTTCTCTTTAGGTGCCCTGGTGGGCCAGCGTCTGTCCGACCATCCAGATGTCCGGAAACTGGGCTTTACAGGTTCTACTGAGATCGGTAAACACATCATGAAGAGGTGAGAGACGCCCCTGGAAAAAACTCTTTGTTTTTAATGAAAACAGCTGACGTCTGTCTGTGCTCCCCCTCATCCAAAGCTGTGCAGTCAGCAACGTGAAGAAGGTCTCCTTGGAGCTGGGAGGGAAATCTCCTCTCATCATCTTCGATGATTGTGACATGGACAAGGCCGTGCGCATGGTGCGTTGTTGCAGGGGCCGCCTCCTCCATCATGGCTCCTTGGTTTTCAGAACTAACCCAGATCTGCTCTGGATTTCAGGGCATGAGCTCCGTGTTCTTCAACAAAGGGGAGAACTGCATCGCCGCTGGCCGCCTGTTTGTGGAGGAAACCATTCACGACCGCTTTGTGAACAAAGTGGTACGTCCCAGGCCGGTTCTAAGCTTAAAGCAGAACCATGAGGGGCCAGTTTGTAAAGTTTAGCCTGTTTTTTTGTGATAAATAAGGGGTTATTTTTTTCACTCATTCATTTATGAAAATCAATGTTCCAAACTAAATATTTAGTTGAAAAAATTGTCCGCAAGATAAATATTTATTTTCCAAACTAAATACTCAGTTTTTTTTAAATAAATGCTTAGCCCAAGTTAAATATTTATTAAATATTTGATTTGCAAATTAAATATCTAGTTAGGTTTGTCCTAGATAAATACTTAGTTTGTTAAAGTTTTAACAAAACTAAATATTTAACAGCCCTGGGGTCTTTCTGTAAGGAGTTTGCATGTTCTCCCTGAGCATGCATGGGTTCTCTCTGGGTACTCCGATGTCTGTCTGATTTACAAGTTTGCACTTTGCTTTTAATGTGACAGGAAAAAACAAAATATATGAGTATTTTGAAACACAGTTGAACCACTTTCATTATTGTAAAAACAGATTGAATCGAAATTAATCGATTTAGAACCGTATGAATCAAAGTTGAATTGGCGAAAATACCCAGCCCTAGGCACCAGCACCCCTCGCCACCCCTGCTGGAGTTGACAGAAAATGGTTAGATGGAAGTTATTTATCCCCAATATTTATATATATAGGAATGTTGTCAGTTATCCACTTGAACAGACATAGATTACAACACAGATTAACTCAGATTACCTGGTCAAACAACAATGAGCACCTTTAACACATGCAGTAAATTACCGGGTCAACTCTTTTCACACTTAACCCGGCAACAATAGAACATTTACACCGATTGTCCGCTGCAGGTTGCAGTACTGCCAGGGCCAAAGATTTAACTGATCAATCTCTAAAGAATTATTTCTGCAGGAAATGTCTAATTCTCGCCTTCTACGGCCAGTTAGAGGGTCCCTATAAATCTGAGGAGACACAACTGACCCGCAACAATCCTCCTAAACAAACATGTAGAGACAAAAATGCTCTAAAATAACTAAAGGAGTTTTTTTATTAATTGTTCAATAAAAAAAAAGAACCAATGAAAGAAATCAATAAAAACCCAGAGAGACGTGACAATCAGGTCACCATCATGCCTCTATTCAGAAAAAAAGAACATTTGAAATATGCTTTATGGACCTCGGTAAAACGATCCTTTTTACGTTTTCCAGGTGGAGGAGGTTAAGAAGATGAAGATCGGTGATCCGCTGGACCGCTCCACAGACCATGGCCCTCAGAATCACAAAGCCCATCTGGACAAACTGTTGGAGTACTGCCAGATGGGTGTGAAGGAGGGGGCCACCCTCATCTATGGTGGCAAACAGGTGCAGCGAGCAGGTGAGCAGCAGGACCTGGAAGGTCACCACCTGGACTATATTGTCCTAGGAGTAAAGCTGTGGTTCGTTTTCCCTCCTGCTTCCAGGTTTCTTCTTTGAGCCCACGGTGTTTACTGATGTCCAGGACCACATGTTCATCGCTAAAGAAGAGTCTTTTGGTCCAGTCATGATCATTTCCAAGTTCAGGAGCGGGTAAGCTACAACCTAAGGCTTCTCTGTGAACCTTATCAGATCATACACAGAAAGCAGTTTGATGTGGTGGTTTTCTCCTCCCGTCTTCCCTCAGTGAGGTGGACGATGTCCTCAGGAGGGCCAATGCTACAGAATACGGCCTGGCTTCAGGCGTTTTCACGCGGGACATCAGCAAAGCTCTGTACGTTAGCGAGCGGCTCAACGCCGGCACCGTTTTCGTCAACACTTACAACAAAACGGATGTGGCCGCACCTTTTGGAGGATTCAAACAGTCCGGATTTGGCAAAGACCTGGGTGAGGGAACATCGATGGCATCACATTTAACCACAAGACTTGGACATGGAGGTTGACCGTCTGTCTCTGTCCACAGGTCAGGAGGCCCTCAACGAATACCTGAAGACAAAAGCTGTGACCATCGAGTACTAAGGGAGCTCCCAGTAGGGGGCAGTACATGAAGCAGATGGTGTGTTAGGATGCAGACATAATGACTACAACCATGATTGTGCCTCAACATGCTAACGAATCCAAGAGAAGTAAAACCGATCAAACTTTGGGACTGAGGCGTGTCGTAAGCTGCAGCGGGTCCGGCTCGTCCAGAACCATGCAGATAAAAGCTGCTCGCATTCTTAATTTCACTGAAGACGCCGAGGGACCAGATCTCTGTCCGATCGAACAAGTTAATGTTGATCCATCAAACCAGAAACATTAGAAAGCTAACAGTCCTAGCAAATCTTGATCATGATTAAAACCATTTAAACCACTTATCATCGCTTTGTTCTTTCTCTGTTGCTAATGCAGATATAAACTAACTAGAATGGTACTGAACTCAACAACCAAACAATTGTCAATGATGCAAAAACATCTGATTAACTTCAGTTCAGCCATATGGCACCAGCTTTACAAGAGACGCCAGTTTAGATTGAAAACCTATAACATTAGTTGAATCCAGTCACACAGAAAGTTTTAAAGTAAAACATATATTTCCAATCAGTCCTTTTCATCATACAGTGCAGTTAAACTCAGCTGATAAAGCCAATAGTTAAAGGAAACTGCCCTTTGCAGCAAGCACCTTTACCCAAAGAAACATGGGTAGCAATCTCCTGCAGAGCTGGGTTCACAGAAGGAAGCCGTCTGCCACCAGAGGGCAGAGCAGAGTCCTGAAATCAGCACATAGAGCACTGATCTAGGAGCACTTTCTACATTAAAGTCAAAACTTTATGGCAACACTGGATAAAAACACAGCTGAACAGATCAATTCACTGGAGCTATAGAAATAAACTGCACTTTATAGAACTGCACTCTGATTTCACTTTATGGATGCAGATTAATCAGATCTTCCAATCAGAGTAAAGATTAAAAGTTTCTATTGAAAGAAAACTAGCTGATTGCTTCCAGTAGTTCACTTTGGAGGATGCTCTCCTCCTGGATATGAGCATCTAGAGACTCGAGATATTAGACTGACTCTTCAGCAATCCCCTTACACCAAGCATGCAGCAACAGTGGAGAGGAAAACTCCCTTTGAACAGGAAGAAACCTCCAGCAGAACCAGGCTCAGTGTGAGCGGCCATCTGCTGAGGCCCACTGGGGTTCAAGGAGACATAGAAAAAGAAGCATAGAAAAGGAACATAAAAGCCCAGATTTATAAACACTTTCTATGTTAGAAAATCTAACAGTAAACTAGCTCCACAGGTGGCCTTCTGGGAAGAGTTAATCAGACGAAATCTGAGCCAGTTTTCAGGTCAAAGGATGAAACAGAGAACATCCAGCTGTCCCAGTAAAGCTGAGCCCAGAGCTATCGGAGAGAAACAGGACTAAAGACTGAAAAACAGGACAAGCTCCAACATCTAGAAACAAAGGTGTTGATGGCAGCAGCACAGCTGATATTTCTCTCCAGGATGGAGTCACAGCCAAACAGGAACAGACCAGATGAAGCTACTATGAGAAAAAGCAGAGAGAGCAGAACGTTAGAGATTGAACTAACAGATTCTGCAGAGTGGGAGAATAGAGATAGAATGAAGCAGAATGATGAAAAAGGGGTCCCTATGTCCTCCAGCAGTCTAAGCCTATAGCAGCAGAACTATAGAGATAGAATGAAGCAGAATGATGAAAAAGGGGTCCCCATGTCCTCCAGCAGTCTAAGCCTATAGCAGCAAGGAGCGGCTCTGTTCAGGGAGTCCATGTTTAAAGGGCAGGGAGTAAAAAAAAACAAAAAAACAATGGTAAGGAAGAGTTTCAATGTTTCAAATGAATAATAAAATAAATAAATAAAATAAAGTTGTTTAACTTTTCCATATAAAAGAAGAAGCTTTTTCAGGAAGGAATGTCTTCTGGTCAGTCGCCCCACTTCATCCTTCAGCCACTTTAAGTCACCTTTCCTCTCTCACCACATACATTTCTCATCACCATATCTGTGCTTTTTTCATCAACATACTTTTCTCTATTTGTTTTCCTCCATTTAAAAAGTGTTTTCTCTTTAATTAATAATAATGATTATAGTGACAGAGGACATAGAGAACAGAATTTAATTCCTACATTAAGATAATTGGTGGAGGCTTTAAAATGATCTATTCTTAATGAATCCATAGCTCAGATATATCTGGAGGTTAAAATGACTTAAACTTTATGGTTTTTCCTCAACAGAACATATTTTATTTGTTCTGATGAAGAAAAGGGTGGAAAGAAGATAAAACAAGAGAAAAACAGCAAAGCTAAACTAATAAGGATCCATACAGATGCTGTTTATTTTTCCATCTGGAACAGTCCATGTGGAATTTGGGTTGATAATTGAGAGCAGAATAAATAAACAACCTAAATAAAATACTAAATCAGGACTAAACCAGTAAAGTAAATAAATAGAGGAATAAAATGGCCTTATAAAGGAAAATGATCTATTTAGGTAATTTTTAGCAGCAGAGGAAATGTCGTGCGTTTGGGATGTTTGTTGATGTTTCAGCTTCTTGCACCCCTGGTTCGGTTTTTCTTCACTTCATGAAACTCTTGTTTTTGTTTCTTTGATTTTGCTTCGCCTTGGAAACATCGTTCTTAAAATCGGATGGAAAGCCTATTTTCTTCTTCCACACATCATGTCTGGTGGAAGCAGCAGAAGGCTGTGCTGCAGCGTCTCCCCTTGTTTACAGCGCTGCAGCTCCTCCCTCCCTCCTCTGCTGAGGAGAAGTTAGTTTGGATTTCTGCAGGTGCAGAAGTGATAAGGGTACCGAACACTAAGGAAGTAAATTTACTGGGTAAGTTTGAAATTATGGAATAATTCAATGATTTCTGACAAAGTTCAATTTTTAATTTAAAGTTCTTTAAGCTACATTTTAAGCTACAAAGTTCTTTAAGCGCTTATTTTTATCTACTGTTGTTTGTGAAAGGCTAAGATAACACCTGATCTGTCTTTCCCTCAGCTCCTTTAATTCAGCATGTTGGTAACTTTAACTCCCAGTGAGCTCATGACGGGTCGACCCTTTCCTGGACAACAGAACGGGCCTGACCTCTGACCTCTGGCCAGACTGGGACTGACAGGTGACACATTAAAATTAAAGACCTTTTTTTCCCTTAGAGAAGGCTTTACAGAGGGACCAAGGTTCCTGGAGACCCTGATGGAGGACCATCTCAGCCATCCTTCCATCCTTCAGCAGGAGGAGATGTGGCTCAAAGTCATCAAAAAAAGTGATCAGAGCTCATCTGAGCTCATCAGGAAGGAACCAGGAAAAGCTTCAGCAAAACAAATCAGAATAAAGGGGCAGAATAATCCCCTCTGATTGGTTAATTAACACATCAGTAGTCCACCTGATGTGTTGAAGACCAGCTGTTCCTCAGACCGCGTTCAAAATGTCGCCTGTATAAGGGACCAACATCAACAGAAAGATGAAGACGCCCACCTGAAGATGACTGACATCAGCTTTGGCTTTTTGATTATTTAATTATACAACATGAATGAGAAGGGAAATGTGTTTTATTTTAATGAAAGGTGAACATTTCAGTATCTGAGTGTTTGATATTACTTTTCTTGATAATAAAAATAAAGTCCAAGTGTTAGATGAGCAGCTGATGGTCAGTATTGGCAGAGATTTCTGGATTAGAGAATGAACTCTGATGATCGGGTCTCAGCTACCATTGGGAAAGAGGAGCGCTGAGATTAAATCCTCCAACTTTTCAATGTGTGCTTTGACTGAGCCTGATTCTGAAGAGCTGAACTCGTCATCTGCGTGAAACAACTTTGCGTTATGATTTTAACATTTTGCATAGAGATTGATCCTTTTTTTACTTTTAATGAAGCTCAGATTAATAATTTGACTTACACTTTGTAGACATGAAGGGGTCTATTGTTTTGACTGATTTGAACTTTTCTCTTTCCAGGGAAACAAAAAGGGTAACTGATAATGATAAGAACTAAATTTTACATTTTCAGCAAACAGATATTTTACCATAAAAGTATCATCATGGGGAAAAACAGTAAATATTTTTGCCAACTAAGGTGTGATTCCACTCTATTTATTGGCTATTATATCAATTATAAATATTTATCATTTTCCACCGACTTAATGCAGTTGTGCATTTTTGATATATATTTTTTTATTTTAGTAACTTAGTTTTTATCTTTCTTTACATATACTCACAATTTTAGTTTCTCAGTTTTTTATATTAATAAATGTTCCTTTTTTTTAAAAATATCGATTACAGAAGGATAATATCCTTTAATAATCGAAACGGTGGTCTGTTGTCAGAAAATTTTTATTTCTCTTCTATTATATATTAATTTATTTATCCTATTCACTCTCTATAAAAGTTTTCACTCAGTCTGTTTCTCTCTCAAGGCCACACCGTTCTCTGCAGGATGGTGTTTGTAGAGCAGCAGAGCTTCTTCCCATAACAAACCAGATTCTTTCTCAGGTTTATTCATAACATGTTACTGTTTAACCAAAGTGTCTGTCATTTGTTTTGACTCTATTTTCCGTTGCTGTAAGGGGGAAGGAACGCTGCTCATGCAGAACAGGGCAGAATGCTGTTCCAACTGTTCTTTCTTTGCAAAGATCTGAATAAATATGCCGACTGAGTGAAATCCATTGATCTCTGTTTATTTAACTAGGATAATTAGTTGATTACTTTTTTCCCACGACACAAATGCATGGACTAGTTTCTCAGCAACACCCCTGCACAGATTTCTCATTTTTGCAATATTCAGCAGATGAAAGAAGGACATCTATGATTTACACTAGGGATGCACGATATAATGGGCCCCCTATCGGTATCGGCCTTAAAACTGAATATCGGACATCGGCCCCCCCACCGATATTTAACCCGATATTTGATCAGCTTCTAAAGTCTAAAAAAATAAAATCTAACTACTTCTTCTTCTTCCTGAAAAACTTCTTTTTTTACAGACTTAAAAACCTCTAAAGACGAGGGAAAAAATATTGATCCATTAAAATATCCCAATATCTTCATATGCTGATATATTGCCATTTAAAAACACCATATCAATCTCTTTTACTAATGAAATATTGCTATATGTCATCGTTATGCTACGAAATCCCCCGAAAATTCACCAAATGTTGCCATATTTTTATATGTTGATATATTGACGCGGTATCGATCTATTTTACTAACAAAATCTCACAAGAATTTGCAAAATATCACGAGAGTTTGTAACAGAACGATGAAATTTCACCAGATTTTGAAAGTAAAATAGATCGATACCGCGTTTTTAGAAATCTATTTGATATCAGCATATGAAAATATATTTGAGTATATTATTTTTCAAAGTGTCAGAAATGGATAACAAAACTGCTATTTTCAATGACTACTTATTTTTGTCCAGCTTTAACATCGGTATCGATATCGGTTATCGGCTACATGAGGTTTAAAATATCGGCATATCGGATATCGGCCAAAATCCCAATATCATGCGTCCCTAATTTACACCAAAGTTTTTTAGATGAAACACAAGTCATGGCATCAGAGACAAGTACTCCGTAGCCCACTGAGTCCCAACCAGCACATTTTATTTAAAAATCTTTTTATTAAGATGTGTAGTAAGTCAAGTAGAAAATAGGAGATAAATCTGAACATGAAGCTTGATGAGCGGTGAGCTTTGAAAGACGTACGATGCAGCAGAAAGACCATCTGCATCTGAACTGAGTCACCTGCTGTTAAAATAGGTTCAAATATTTCATGTAAAGCTGCTTTAAAGACACGGTTAAACAACAGTTTTATTGAAGGAGAGAAACAGGCAATAATGAGGAAAAGTGATGAAGGAGACACGGTGGAAGACATGAAAACGTCTAAACATTGAAGAAGTGAATCGTTTGAGATTAACCTGGAATATTTCTGTCTCTGAGATTCAAGCCTCATCCACGCCGCCTGCTGTCAGAGCTGGCTACGGTGGCTAGCTTAAACACCTGGGTCAGCCAATCAGCTCCTGGTCCTGGAATAGTCCTGGATTTATGGCTTCCTGCCTGGAGAGCAACGGATAAACGATTGAATCTGAGCTCTGCCCTCATCCACAGGTTCAACAACTTCCTCCAGAATCTCTAGAATCCAGAGCATCAGTGTGATGATGTCATTTCCTGAACTTGGTGACTACAGAAACATAGCTAGCGTTAGCATTAGCTGCTGACTGATGAAGCCAGGAAGGAATCCCATCAGGACAAACATCCAGCAGCGGCCCAGTCTGGAGCTTCGGGCCTCCGTCCAGCTCGGCCTGTGGACCCAGAACCTTCTGACAGGCGGCCAATAAACCCGGCCTCCCGAGCACCTCAGCGGGTGCCGCTGCCCGCCGCGGTCTGGTTAGAGTGGCGCCGGGCTGAGGCTGTGGCTCTGAGTGTGTTTGTTCAGGTCCTTCTTGTAGGTGAAGGGCTGGGAGCAGATGCTGCAGAGGTAGGGTTTCTCCCCCGTGTGCATCCTCATGTGGGTGACCAGGTTGCTCCTCTGCCTGAAGCTCTTGGGGCAGCGCTGGCAGGCGTACGGCCTCTCCACCGTGTGGATTCTCATGTGGATCCTCAGACACTCGCCGCGTGCGAACGTCTTCCCGCACTCCTTGCAGCGGTGCGGCCTCTGGCCCGTGTGGATCAGCATGTGCCGTTTGAGATGGGTGGCCGTGGTGAAGGTCTTCCCGCAGACGTGGCACAGGTTGTCCACCGTGGGCGCCGGCGCCGCACGCTCCGAGGGACAGAGCGGGGAAAACGGCGTAGCGTGGGACTTGGCGTGTATTACCATGGAGCTCCTGCGGAGGAACGACTCTCCGCACGTCCCGCAGTGGAACGCAGTGACGTTCTGCTGGGCCCGCCTCTTCCGGGCCCCCACAGCGCATTCCTCGGCCTCCGGCTCGCCTTCAGACGACACCGGCTGGCAGAAGTCCGACCGGTCCAGACATTCTGCTTCCGGGCTAGCGGAGGTGTGAGCCGTCCCCTCCTCCACCACGCTGTGGTTCTGCTCCGGCTTCAGACAGACGGAGTCGCTGTTCCACTGCTCCATCAGGGTCGCCTGGTCCGGACCGGGCCAGAATCCTGGACCGTCCCAAAACTCATCTTTGATGGGCTTTACCAGAACCTGCTCTGGTTCTGTGGAGGCTGGTTCCCCTGACGCCCGGAGGTCCGGAGAGGCTGCAAACACAGACAGACGGGAAAGGATGACACCCTTCCTGGAACTGAAGGTCACCGCCTCCATCTCCAGGTTCTGGAGGTCCGATTAAATCCTGAAGAACCAGAACATCTCAGCAAATAGAACGTTTCACACAGAAGGGCAGAAAAGGTTTAATAAAAGTGTGTTTGAAAACACGTCTATGAATCATCTAAGGCTCTGGTTCAGAACCAATCAGAACCAATCAGAACCAACCAGAACCAACCAGAACTAATCAGATCCAATCAGATCCAACCAGAACCAATCAGATCCGATCAGATCCAACCAAAACCAATCAGAACCAATCAGAACCAATCAGAACCAACCAGAACCAACCAGAACTAATCAGATCCAATCAGATCCAACCAGAACCAATCAGATCCGATCAGATCCAACCAAAACCAATCAGATCCAATCAGAACTAATCAGATCCGATCAGATCCAACCAGAACCAATCAGATCCGATCAGAACCAATCAGAACCAATCACATCCAATCAGATCCAACCAGAACCAATCAGATCCAATCAGAACCAAACACATCCAATCAGAACCAACCACATCCAACCAGAACCAATCAAATCCAACCAGAACCAATCAGATCCAATCAGAACCAACCAGATACAACCAGAACCAACCAGATACAACCAGAACCAACCAAATCCAACCAGAACCAATCAGATCCAATCAGATCCAACCAGAACCAATCAGATCCAACCAGAACCAATCACATCCAATCAGAACCAACCACATCCAACCAGAACCAATCAAATCCAACCAGAACCAATCAGATCCAATCAGATCCAACCAGAACCAATCAGATCCAACCAGAACCAATCACATCCAATCAGAACCAACCAGATACAACCAGAACCAACCACATCCGACCAGAACCAATCAGATCCGATCACATCCAACCAGAACCAATCAGATCCGATCAGAACCAATCACATCCAATCAGATCCAACCATAACCAATCAGATCCAATCGGAACCAAACACATCCAATCAGAACCAACCAGATCCAACCAGAACCAATCAGATCCAACCAGAACCAATCAGATCCAATCAGAACCAACCAGATACAACCAGAACCAACCAGATCCAACCAGAACCAATCAGATCCAATCAGATCCAACCAGAACCAATCAGATCCAACCAGAACCAACCAGATCCGACCAGAACCAATCAGATCCGATCAGAACCAATCACATCCAACCAAAACCAATCATATCCAATCAGAACCAATCAGATCCGATCAGATCCAACCAGAACCAATCAGATCCGATCAGAACCAACCAGATACAACCAGAACCAACCAAATCCAACCAGAACCAATCAGATCCAACCAGAACCAATCAGATCCAATCAGAACCAACCAGATACAACCAGAACCAACCAGATCCAACCAGAACCAATCAGATCCGATCAGATCCAACCAGAACCAATCAGATCCAACCAGAACCAATCACATCCAATCAGAACCAACCAGATACAACCAGAACCAACCACATCCGACCAGAACCAATCAGATCCGATCACATCCAACCAGAACCAATCAGATCCGATCAGAACCAATCAGAACCAATCACATCTAATCAGATCCAACCATAACCAATCAGATCCAATCAGAACCAAACACATCCAATCAGATCCAACCAGAACCAACCAGATCCGACCAGAACCAATCAGATCCGATCAGAACCAATCACATCCAACCAAAACCAATCATATCCAATCAGAACCAATCAGATCCGATCAGATCCAACCAGAACCAATCAGATCCGATCAGAACCAACCAGATACAACCAGAACCAACCAAATCCAACCAGAACCAATCAGATCCAACCAGAACCAATCAGATCCAATCAGAACCAACCAGATACAACCAGAACCAACCAGATCCAACCAGAACCAATCAGATCCGATCAGATCCAACCAGAACCAATCAGATCCAACCAGAACCAATCACATCCAATCAGAACCAACCAGATACAACCAGAACCAACCACATCCGACCAGAACCAATCAGATCCGATCACATCCAACCAGAACCAATCAGATCCGATCAGAACCAATCAGAACCAATCACATCTAATCAGATCCAACCATAACCAATCAGATCCAATCAGAACCAAACACATCCAATCAGAACCAACCAGATCCAACCAGAACCAATCAGATCCAACCAGAACCAATCAGATCCAATCAGAACCAACCAGATACAACCAGAACCAACCAGATCCATCCAGAACCAATCAGATCCAATCAGATCCAACCAGAACCAATCAGATCCAATCAGATCCAACCAGAACCAATCAGATCCGATCAGATCCAACCAAAACCAATCAGATCCAATCAGAACCAATCAGATCCGATCAGATCCAACCAGAACCAATCAGATCCGATCAGAACCAATCAGAACCAATCACATCACATCAGATCCAACCAGAACCAATCACATCCAATCAGAACCAAACACATCCAACCAGAACCAATCACATCCAACCAGAACCAATCAGATCCAATCAGAACCAACCAGATACAACCAGAACCAACCAGATCCGACCAGAACCAATCAGATCCGATCAGATCCAACCAGAACCAATCAGATCCCATCAGAACCAATCAGAACCAATCACATCCAATCAGATCCAACCAGAACCAATCAGATCCGATCAGAACCAAACACATCCAATCAGAACCAACCAGATACAACCAGAACCAATCAGATCCAACCAGAACCAATCAGATCCAACCAGAACCAACCAGATCCAACCAGAACCAATCACATCCAATCAGAACCAACCAGATACAACCAGAACCAACCACATCCGACCAGAACCAATCACATCCAATCAGAACCAACCATATCCAACCAGAACCAACCAGATCCAACCAGAACCAATCAGATCCAATCAGATCCAACCAGAACCAATCAGATCCAACCAGAACCAATCACATCCAATCAGAACCAACCAGATACAACCAGAACCAACCAGATCCGACCAGAACCAATCACATCCAATCAGAACCAACCAGATCCAACCAGAACCAACCAGATCCAACCAGAACCAATCACATCCAATCAGATCCAACCAGAACCAATCAGATCCAATCAGAACCAACCAGATACAACCAGAACCAATCAGATCCAACCAGAACCAACCAGATCCAACCAGAACCAATCAGATCCAATCAGAACCAACCAGATACAACCAGAACCAATCAGATCCAACCAGAACCAACCAGATCCAACCAGAACCAATCAGATCCAACCAGAACCAATCAGATCCAATCAGAACCAACCAGATACAACCAGAACCAATCAGATCCAACCAGAACCAACCAGATCCAACCAGAACCAACCAGAACCAATCAGATCCAATCAGATCCAACCAGAACCAATCAGATCCAATCAGAACCAACCAGATACAACCAGAACCAATCACATCCAACCAGAACCAACCTCATCCAACCAGAACCAATCAGATCCAATCAGAACCAACCAGATACAACCAGAACCAATCACATCCAACCAGAACCAACCAGATCCAACCAGAACCAATCAGATCCAATCAGATCCAACCAGAACCAACCAGATCCAACCAGAACCAACCAGATCCAACCAGAACCAATCAGATCCAATCAGATCCAACCAGAACCAATCAGATCCAATCAGAACCAACCAGATACAACCAGAACCAACCAGATCCAACCAGAACCAATCAGATCCAATCAGATCCAACCAGAACCAATCAGATCCAACCAGAACCAATCACATCCAATCAGAACCAACCAGATCCAACCAGAACCAACCAGATCCAACCAGAACCAATCAGATCCAATCAGAACCAACCAGATCCAATCAGATCCAACCAGAACCAACCAGATCCGACCAGAACCAATCACATCCAATCAGAACCAACCAGATCCAACCAGAACCAACCAGATCCAACCAGAACCAATCAGATCCAATCAGAACCAACCAGATCCAATCAGATCCAACCAGAACCAACCAGATCCGACCAGAACCAATCACATCCAATCAGAACCAACCAGATCCAACCAGAACCAACCAGATCCAACCAGAACCAATCAGATCCAATCAGAACCAACCAGATCCAATCAGATCCAACCAGAACCAACCAGATCCGACCAGAACCAATCAGATCCAACCAGAACCAATCAGATCCAACCAGAACCAACCAGATCCAACCAGAACCAATCAGATCCAATCAGATCCAACCAGAACCAATCAGATCCAACCAGAACCAACCAGATCCAACCAGAACCAATCAGATCCAACCAGAACCAACCAGATCCAACCAGAACCAATCAGATCCAACCAGAACCAACCACATCCAACCAGAACCAATCAGATCCAACCAGAACCAACCAGATCCAACCAGAACCCATCAGATCCAACCAGAACCAATCAGTCCGGTTTGAATCTATAGCCCATCCATTAGGAAGGAGGAACATTTCTCCAGTGGGACACGGAATAAAATCCTCAATAATCATTATTAAAATTATTTTATTTTGAAAGTTGAAGATTCTAAAAACAGATCAAAGATTCTCATTGGTTGAAAAAACAAAACAAGATTTTAGTTTTCAAAACACAAACATGAATTTAAAGAAAATTAAAACCAAAATGATGCTTAGAAATCTCTCATTATCCTCATTATTATTTTTTTTTTATTTCTCCAAATGTTTTCTGCCAATATGGATCTAAATCTTCATCAGTGAAGATGAGGATGAGGTTTTTATACAGGAAAGTTTTTATTGTTTTTAACAGAAATCATTTAATCAGGGGCCAAACCGACCACAGAAGCAGGTAAAACCCACCTGCATCCTTCCCAGCTGGCAGCGGTTCTGCTGACGTCAGCAGCAGCTCGGTGGTTCCGGTTCTGACCGCTTCCATGGACCCCAGCGCCTCCTTCTCCAGCTCTAAGAAGGTTCTCTCCACCGCCCCGAATATCTCCTCCGCCGCGGCGCTCAGCCGCTCCCTGACGAACTCCTGCAGCTGCTCCATTTTGGACCGACACCGAGACGGAACCCAGCTCTCCACTCCGGCCATTGCAGCAGCGTCCACGTCCACCAGAGGGCGCACTACTGACTTCATCCTGAGCGGTTTGAGGAAGAACTGGTGGGACTTACTGCCCCCTGGCTGGATTGGAGGTTAAAATCAGAGGAAAGTTCCTGTAGCAGCTTCCCAAGGAAGCAAATAAGGGTGAAAAATTTCATTCTATATCCAGCTGGTTTTTTAAACACAGATAAAAGTATTTTCACCTGCAGCCTGGAGGAAAACTTTAACCTATAGACCATCAGAGAGAAAATTAAAATAAAAGCAAAACGCTCCTTTTTAAAAACCACACGAACATTTTCATTTTATATGATTGGCATGTTTTTGATAGGAACTGATCAAAACATGATGAGAGTGTGTGGTAATGAGTCAGAAGGTCAGAGGTCATCAGATGACAGAGGAGGGCAGCTCAGGAGGACATGTTGGTAATAAGAGAGGCCAAGGGATGGGATGAAGATGCTGACATGCAGAGTGGTTAGCAGGTGGTCTGAGATGCAGGTCAGGCGGATGATCTACGGAGAGGCTGGAGGAGAACGTTGTGCTGAGATTCAGAGACAGAGATCAAGATTTGTTGCTGAGGGAACAAGTGATGAGCAGAGCCAGATTCAGGTGGTGTTGCTTTGCGATGGACTCCGAGGACCAGCAAAGTAGATGGAGATTGGACAGATTCCCACGCCACTTATTGGGACAATAGAGGGAGGACGTTGGGTTGGGACAGGACCAAACAGAAGGCAAAGGGTTTGGTGACATTTAATTATTCTATTCAATTTATTTCTATAGCACCAATTCACAACACAAGTCATCTCAAGGCACTTTCCAGTTCAACCAGATCATCCAGTCAGATTGATTGAAAGTTTTCTGTCTAAGGAAAACCAGTTTATTGCATCGACTGCATCCATAGCAATATCCGCCTGACATTCGATCTACTAGACTACAATCATTTAATTGAAGATGAAAGTTTTATTTTATTTTTAGATTTCTTTAAAGCCTTTGATACCATTGAACACAAATTCATGTTCCGCACCTTAGAATTATTTGGCTTTGGATCAAAATTTTTAAATTTTAAATAAAGAGTGTGATCTCACTGCCGCATGGCATCTCCTTTAGAATCTCTATTAATAAAGGCATTAAACAGGGATGTCCTATTTCTCCTTTACTCTTCATCGCCGCAGCAGAGATGTTATCCATCCTTATTAAAAATGCAGATTTTGAGAACCTCAGTGTTTCAGGCAATAAAATCGCCATAACCCAACTAGCCGATGATACGGCCGTATTCATGAAAAACAGCAATCAAATACCAAAAATCCTCCAATCAATAGAATCAAATAGTTTTACTCCAAGGATTCTGGTCTGAGATTAAACTTAAAAAAATTTGAAATGTTACCGATACACGACTCGTCCCAGACGACCGTTTATAACATCCTGTTAAATCTTTTGTGAAATATTTTCACATCACCAAAGATAATAAATCACTGGAAAAACTAAACTGTTGGAATATTTTAGATAAACATATCAATTTTTGGTCGAACTTTCCTTACAAAAATGGAATGTCTCTCAATATTTATCTATCCAGCTTATTCCATATCCCTTCCTAAACCTGCAATTAAAGCTATAAATCAAATTAACTTCAACTTTATCTGGAAAAACAAGACGCACTACATTAGAAAGGAGCAAAGGTTAAAGAGTATAATGATGGAGGTCTTAAAGCGATAGACTTTGAATGTTTAGACGGAATGATTAAATGAATTGGCTCAAATCTTTTCTGAAAAATGAAAATAGTTTTTGGTTTCATATCCCCTCCAAATTATTTATAGAATTAGGAGGAATTAACTTCCTCCTTAAATGTGATTTTGATCCTAAGAAACTTCCTGTTAAACTTTCTTCTTTTCATCAACGCGTCTTACTTTATTGGAAACTAATATTTAAGCATAATTTTAGTCGTCATAACACCCCACTATGGAACTCCCGATATGTCCTATTCAGGAACAAGTCTTTATTTTACAAGAGCTGGCTAGAAAGTGGTATACAGTCGATAATGCACATTCCTGATGACAAAGAAATGTTTTACCTTTTGAAACTCTTTGCTCTAAATTCAAAATAAATAACAGAAAACAATATAATATATTAATCAAAGCCCTTCCTCAGCCTCTGATCATAATGTCATACAAACTGCTGCTAAACCATGTCCAGGTAAAACTTCCCTCTCTGTTACTCAGCGCTCAGTCTGTTATTGATAAAAAGCTGACCAACAATGTCAGACGTAGTTTGTTTGTCAAGGAATTTCATCCCGATACATCTCACAGAAACCTAATCTCCAAGCATTTTCCAAAAGAGAAAGTGGGAAAACTGCGGAATAAATATCTACAGTTTCCTGTTGCTCCAAAGGTTAAAGTCCATTTCAAAATAATCACTGACATTTATTCTTCAAAGGAATTTCTGAGGCTCCGTTTTGGTTTTTGAAGAAAATGATTGCACCTTCTGTGAATGCGAAACTAAGCCTGTTGGTCGCCTCTTTTTCGACTGTCTGTACGTGAAAGCTTTCTGGGAAGATTTCTGCTTCTGGTGTTTGTCTAAAATTGATTCTCCTTCTCATCTGGAATGTTTTGTTTGGAATAGAAATGACAGATAACCTGCAGGACCGAGCCTTTAATGTTTTACTCATGATGGGGACATTTTTCATTCACAAAAACAAGCCAAACTTCAACGTTTTTCTTAAAGAACTTTGTTTGTATTTTCAATCACTTAATCACTTAAACCCCTAGCTATTATTATTTTGTTTTATTTATTTATTTAATTTATTTATTTTTCATATCTTCTATGCCCCGTCGTTCTTAAAGTTATACTTTCACCTATAATTGTCCAATGTTTCACCAGCTGTTGTATATCTATGCTTGATGTTTGATTAATTCTGTAATGTTACACGGTATTGCCAATAAAGCATTAAAAACAAGGGGAAAAAAGTGGTGGAGTCTGTCTGAACAGCAGCGCCCTCTGCTGGAGGGAAGCTAGATGAGCGAGCAGCGAAGCGGGGCGGGGCGGAGCGGCTTCGGTTCTCCGATGGGCAGCATCCTGCAGGAGCGCTCCGCGGAGCGGGGCTCCATCACGGACAGAGGATGGAGGAGGAAAGCTTCTAGAAGCAGCAGCAGAACCGCTGGGTGGGTTCCGGGTTCTGAGGGGGCGGCCATCTTTATTCCTCTGCTGGGATCAGATGATTGCTTTGTTTTTCTCTGCAGGACCAACATGGGAAGGAGGCAGCAACAAAGGAGGTCTCCTCAGCCGCAGAGTCCGAACCAGAGGGAGGAGAACCAGGAGCAGGTGGGTCTGGACTGGACCGGAACCAAAGGTCCACATGATGAGCATCAGCGGAGGGAAACCTGTCCAGGGGGAACCTCAGTCCAGGTTCCTCCTCCTCCTCCATGCAGCCTAATGGAGGAGATCAAACAGATTCATCCTCTTCAGGAACATCAGCGGTGGCGGCCGCTAGGGGGCGCCATGCGGCCTGGGGAAAATGGAGGGAAAACAAGAAAAACAGAAACAAAAATTAAATCTGTTTGTATCATTATTATTACAGCGGCGTAATAGGGCCATTCAAAGACGAAAAAAAATTGAATTAAAATTTTTGAGTGTAAAGTGACATTTTTACAAGAATAATATAAGAAACATGGAAACAGGTAGCAAATGTATGACGATAAACAGGCTAATTTAAGAGAAAGAACATGGTAATTTACGCAATCACAAAAATGCATATTTAGAAGGAAACAGTTGAAAACTTATGAGACTAAAACCAGATTGATAAGAGAAAAAAAAATTCTATCTGAAAAACTCACATGAAGAGAAAAGAAAATTAGGAGAAATGTATTTATTTATTTATTACTTTGTCGTTGGCGCTCAGACCTCGGCAGGAAACATAGCGCTGAATTTTGATAGATCTGCATGAACAGGAGAAAAGAACAGGGCTGCCCCCCCCCCCCCCTCCAGGCCTGAAACAGGTGGTGGAGTGGAGATAGATGGAGTTGGTCAGTCTGTAGACTGCTGGTTGGAGAGACGGTCTGCTGAGCTTTATGGGGAGATCCAGTGGACTGCATGAGCTGATACTAGAGCTTCACTCAGGGACCTGGAAGATGGAAGTCCTGCTGGATAACACAGGATGAGAGAACCTGTCCATGGTGAGCAAGCATGGGGCGACAGTGGAGAGGAAAAACTCCTCGTTGGAAGAAACCTCTGGCAGAACCAGGCTCAACATGGCGGTCTTCTGCTGGACCGGTGGAGATAACTCAAGGGCAGACGATTTGTGGATGTGAGGCCTTTTAAGATGAACTCTGGATGCTGATTGGCTTTCGTGGAGGCATGGTTGAAAGCTGATTGGCTGTCGCAGGTGGATGAAGGCGAGCAATCAGTTTATTCAGTTGAACCTCCGCTTATAGGTTCCTTTTATTCTATAAACATGCAAATTTATTGTATCATTGATTTTTACTTTAAAACCTTCCATTAGGGCCATTGTACCGAAAGCACATTTGCAGGTATTTTCTGTATCATACTTTAATATTTATTAGATTATTTCATTGTTCCGAAATTTAATTCTTGCAAATTTGTTTATTCTTTCTCCTATTTTGTTCCTGCTTTTTCATTAAATTGCTACTTTATATCTTTTTGTAAATTTGCTTGTTTGTTGTCGTAAAAATGCCAATTTAAACTCAGCAATTTAAATGCCATTCATGTTTGAATGGCCCTAATACGCCATCAGATTCTCATAAAGTAAAATCTAATTATTTAGTACCTGTTTGTTATGAAATATAGTTAGTAATAAAAAATCCGAGAAAGTTTGAGGCTCTTCCTGTCAAACTGATGAAGTTTATTCTGATGCTGAACAATCAGACCTGATCAGGGACAGAAACACCCAGAAAGCTTCTTCTAATTCTCCATCAGCCATATTTCCATGTTTTAATATATCAGCAGGATGATGCTCCTTTTGCTGATGATCCCTCCTCCTTCTGTCCTCCATCTCACCTCCACCTCTCCTCCATTCCTCCTTTGTTCCTCCTTCATCCCTCCTCCACCTCTCCTTCATCACGCCTCCGTCCCTCCTGCATCCCACCTTCACCTCTCCTCCTTCTCTCCTCCATCCCTCCTCCATCTCTCCTTTGTTCCTCCTCCACCTCTCCTCCATCCCTCCTCCTTCTCTCCTTTGTTCCTCCTCCACCTCTCCTCCATCCCTCCTCCTTCTCTCCTCCATCTCTCCACCATTTCTCCTCCATCCCTCCTCCATTTCTCCTCCACCTCTCCTCCATCCCTCCTCCTTCTCTCCTCCATCCCTCCTCCTTCTCTCATCCATCTCTCCACCATTTCTCCTCCACCTCTCCTCCATCCCTCCTCCTTCTCTCCTCCATCCCTCCTCCACCTCTCCTCCACCTCTCCTCCATCCCTCCTCCTTCTCTCCTCCATCCCTCCTCCTTCTCTCATCCATCTCTCCACCATTTCTCCTCCATCCCTCCTCCTTCTCTCCTTTGTTCCTCCTCCACCTCTCCTCCATCCCTCCTCCTTCTCTCCTCCATCTCTCCACCATTTCTCCTCCATCCCTCCTCCATTTCTCCTCCACCTCTCCTCCACCTCTCCTCCATCCCTCCTCCTTCTCTCCTCCATCCCTCCTCCTTCTCTCATCCATCTCTCCACCATTTCTCCTCCACCTCTCCTCCATCCCTCCTCCTTCTCTCCTCCATCCCTCCTCCACCTCTCCTCCACCTCTCCTCCATCCCTCCTCCTTCTCTCCTCCATCTCTCCACCATTTCTCCTCCATCCCTCCTCCATTTCTCCTCCACCTCTCCTCCACCTCTCCTCCATCCCTCCTCCTTCTCTCCTCCATCCCTCCTCCTTCTCTCCTCCTTCTGTCCTCCATCTCACCTCCACCTCTCCTCCATTCCTCCTTTGTTCCTCCTTCATCCCTCCTCCACCTCTCCTTCATCACGCCTCCGTCCCTCCTGCATCCCACCTTCACCTCTCCTCCTTCTCTCCTCCATCCCTCCTCCATCTCTCCTTTGTTCCTCCTCCACCTCTCCTCCATCCCTCCTCCTTCTCTCCTCCACCTCTCCTCCACCTCTCCTCCATCCCTCCTCCTTCTCTCCTCCATCCCTCCTCCTTCTCTCATCCATCTCTCCTCCATTTCTCCTCCACCTCTCCTCCATTTCTCCTCCACCTCTCCTCCACCTCTCCTCCATCCCTCCTCCTTCTCTCCTCCATCCCTCCTCCTTCTCTCCTCCATCTCTCCACCATTTCTCCTCCATCCCTCCTCCTTCTCTCCTTTGTTCCTCCACCATCTCTCCTCCCTCCCTCCTCCATCCCTCCTCCACCTCTCCACCATCTCTCCTCCCTCCCTCCTCCATCCCTCCTCCACCTCTCCACCATCTCTCCTCCCTCCCTCCTCCATCCCTCCTTCACCCCTCCTCCATCTCTCCATCCACAGACAGTGGCGAGAAGGAAGCGGCGGTCCCGGTCCAACCCGTCCTCCAGCAGTGGTGCTGAGCTCAGGTGAGAACAGAGCTGGAGCGTTTGTTGTCATGGCGACGTGTTTGATGGACATAATCAGACTTCCTGTTTCCTGCAGACGAAGCGGTCGTCCTGACTGCGGCGGACAGAAGCTGAAGGCGTCATCAGCTGAGAGGGGCGTCCACAGGAATTGCACCCCCCCAGGCCGCGCCCCGCCACCCTGCAGCCCCAACCAGACGGACAGCGACACGGACCTGTCCGAGTCTGAGAGACCACACTCCTCCCCCTGTCGCTGTCCGCCCCCCCAACTGCAGCTCAGGCCCGAGGTCATGGAGGAGGACCAGCCTGCCCTCCAGCGCCAGAGGGTGAGAGGGCGGCGCCGGGGGGGGGGCGGACTTTCCAGACTTCCTCCCTCCACCTTTCAACTCCTGGAGCCTTGGCCAGCTGGCCGTCTTCTACAACATGGAGGGCCGGGGAGCCCTGGGGCCCCGACCTGTGGGACCTTTGGAGAGGTACCTGGAGAGACTGCTGCATCTAGAGTGGTACCAGATCCAGACGGTTCAGGCGGAGCGGGAGGTGGGCGGAGTCACAGCGGCCTGTCAGAGGGCCGGGGCCCCGTCCCGCCTCAGCTCCCCTAAATGCATCCTCCACTGCCCGCGGGCCCTCCCCTTCCTGTGCGGTTCCGTTTGCGCTCTGTGCCCAGCGCCGGATCGCAGCAGGGGACTGGCACCACTTCCTAAACGGAGCTACAGCGAGAGCCGAGTCCGCTCCGGCAGCCCCAGCAGGTCCAGCAGCTACTTACGGAGGATGCAGGCCTCAGGAAACATGCGCCATCCCATGGGGATGGCTGCCAGGGCCGGGTCGGCCCCCACGGCAGGGGGCCCCCGGCAGAAGACAGACGGAGGCCAGACGGAACAGAGCCGGACCAAGGCTGAACGAACAGGAAGTCAAACCGGACACCGTCGCTGCCATCATAGATAAATTGCCCCACCGCCCAGAGCTGTCCAAACAGCAGGCGGGAAGAGCCCCTCCCTGCCGAACCAGAGCTATCACTGCCAATCTATTTACAGAGTTCTACGTTTATAAATCCGATTGAGCTGCTGACCAACAGGACATCAGAGGATCCAGGTTGGTCTTCCAGGTTCTCAGGAGGATCTCTGCAGTCAGCCCCCCCCCCCCCCCCCCTCCAGCGCTGCTCAGACCCTCAGAACTTTACCTCATCACTCCTGAATGTAGCTCATTCCATTAAATGAATGCCATTCCCACAGCATGATGCTGCCACCACCGTGCTTCACCAGCACGTCCAGGTGGACGTCCAGGTCCTGGTAGGTCTGCAGAGGCTCCATTGTGTGAGAAGATAATGCGGCGTTGAACCGAAGCCCGCCCGTCTGCTGGTCTCCATGAGCCTCTGAGGCGTGAATATTCTGTCCAACTAAAGGACACTTTTATTGAGCTGAAATGTTTTTTTTTTTTTTTTTATTTTGTAAAAACGATTAAAGAATATCTATCTTTTTTAATGAGTCGTCTTTTTTAGTGTTGCACTGATGCCATTTTTTGGCCCCGATACCTGGCTGTGCATTATTGGTCGATACCAATACCATCTGTTTGAAATTGATCTGTGTGTGTTTATATGAAGAACTGCAGACTACTGGGATGTAAAATAATTGCCATCATGGCTTTATCAAGCTGCTGCCTACCTTTGAGAATCAGGAAAAAGACTAAAACAAATACAATCCATTTTTTATTGCCTACCTGGAATGGGTGACAATAGTTAAACTTTTGGCTCTTAAAATGTTATCGGTGTGCTATTTGTTGCTACTCGCTGATACCGATGCCACCATTTCAGTGCTGGATCGGCGCCCCGCCCGATACTGGTGGCGCAACACCAGTCATTTTATTAAATTTCTACTGAATGTTTGAAAATAAAAACAAAGCTGTAGCAGAAGGAGGAGATGTGTGTCTTTGGGTGTTTATATCTGTGAAATATAGTGTAAAAAAAGGTCAGAATGAAATCCAAACATCACAGGTAGTTATGTTGCGGCTCTGTTTTTCAATTTTATGGCAATAATTCCAATACAATAAACCAAGGCTGTAATCAGGAGACGTTCCTTCCTTCTCTGTCAGTTCTTAGCCACTGAGGGGCCAAACAGGAACATGTTCAGGAAATTCTTCTTTCTATTGAGACACATTCTTATCGAGCGCCGTTTGTACAGTTAGGCAGTCAAACATTGGGAGCAATATTTATGGTTATTTTGCGAGTTTTAAGAGAAAAATAAGGGGTTGATTTTTCCAAGACCATCGGCCACTACACAGCCACTCCGGGGGCAGCATCTGCCGGCAGTGGCCACCATCGGCCACTCCAGTGGCAGGCTCGCGACTCCCAGGTTTTGGTGGCTGCAGAAGCCGGTTTTCGTTAAATAACTTATTTTCTTTTTTTAGTTCTTCTTGCCGTTTTTTGGCAAATACCTTATTTATTCATTTTTTTTTTTTATTTTTCTTTTTCTTGCCGTTGCGGTGGCTGCTTAGTGGCGGCTGCCGTTCCATCATGTAAATGTGACATTATAAAAGTTTCCATGTAGTTTACTAAGCAATAACATCACAATATAAAAAAAAATAAAAAATACATTTTAATACAGTTTATTAAGCAATATCATCACAAAACAAAACAAAATAAAGAATACATTTTAATACAGTTTATTAAGCAATAACATCACAATATAAAAAAAAACCAATCTAGTTAGAACTACTATAAATAAGGTATTTGCCGAAAAACGGCAAGAAAAATACCAAAAAAATAATTAAATACCAAAAAAAGTAATTAAAAAAACTACATGAAAAAATAATTTAGTGGCTGCGGCCAGTAATACGCCGTGCCATTTGCTGACGAGCCACCGGAACTGCTGCAACGAGCCAACGGGCCACCGGAACTGCTGCAACGAGCCAACAGGCCACCGGAACTGCTGCAACGAGCCAACGGGCCACCGGAACTGCTGCAACGAGCCAACGGGCCACCGGAACTGCTGCAATGCAGCCACTGCCACGAATTGAGCTCGGCCCTGCTGTCATTTTTTCAGTGAGAAATTGCTGACAAATTAAAAAAATTTAGCTGATTTTTAGCTAGCACCAAGCTAGCTAAATATTTTGTTAAATAAATATTCAGCTTGAAGCTCAACAAACTAAATTTAACAATCTAAATAAACTTTACAAAATAAATAAAACATTTTTAGCTAAATATCTATATACAGTTTGGAAAATAAAATCACTTAAAATAAATCTAAATATTGTTGCTAATTTTGACTGCTTAGCTTTCCAGTAGGCAGCCCATAGATTGATCAAATTGAAGCAGCTTTTTAACCTTTAAGCATTTGTTCAACACGGCTTTCCTTATTCCCACATTTCTATATTAAACTTTTAATTATCTGATCTTAAATGTCCCATTTATCATCACTTTGACTGATCTGTTTCATGCTTCTCAAATGAATTGTTTCCATATATAATATTGGTCGCTTAGACTCCACCAGTAAACTGCCCTATGATGCACTGATATAAGGCGCTGAATTCAATGGCACACCACACTTTTCAGATTTTCATTAGTAATTTTTTAGAAAATAAATCATCAATTTCCCTCCGGTCTACGACATAAATTCAAAACAAAACAGAGAACTGTGTTGAAAACTTTCCAAAATCAGATTTTATTATTTTAAAATGTTTCCAGCAGCTCTTAGAGTGATAGAAATTAAGCCTTAATTAAATTATCATCAGGTTTAACGAGGTGGTTGGTCAGATTAAAAGTACATTTTAATCATAGCAACCTTTAGACAGGCTTTAAACATACCTCGGATTTTTAGTTTGTTTTATTTTTTTCTACTGTAAGAAAGCTGAACCTCATGATCGAAAAGATGTGGCGGGTCCATTACCACCATGGTCCGGTAGATGGCGGTAATGAGCCACCACGCTCGTCTCACCGGAAGGTTCCTCTCTGCTGTTTTATTTTCCGACCGGACGTGTTTTGGTGAAACACCAGCATCATGGAGCCAGCAGCCTCTCAGCGTGTTTTGCAGTATTTAACAGAAGTGGAAGAAGCTGCAGAGGATGTTCTCACCACTAAACAACAGGTAGCAGAACACTCCGCTTTGTTTAAAAAAATATAAATATCAATAATATACCGGCGGATGTCTGGGGGACAGTGATTGGCCTAGATGTTATGAATGATGGCGTACCATAAATGATCACTTATGAACAGTTTAGTTTGTGCCTTCAAGTCGTTTCTCATAGGAAGACGTTACCTGTAAAAAGAAAATGGCGTTCCCCTTTAAGTGGGATACACCACGCTTAAAAATCTGCAAAACCCCCGAAGGTCATTGACTCTCCCACCACAGTCTCCTAAAATCCTGTGGGAAACACTGATACCATGTGTACAGGTGCTGGTCATAAAATTAGAATATCATGAAAAAGTAGATTGATTTCAGTAATTCCATTTAAAAAGTGAAACTTGTATATTATATTCATACATTACATACAAACTCATATATTTCAGATGTTTATTTTGTTTAATTTTGATGATTACAAATGACAACAAATGAAAATCTCAAATTCATCATATCAGAAAATTAGAATATTGTGAAAAGGTTCAAAATTGATGGCCCCTGGTGCCACACTCTAATCAGCTAATTAACTCAAACCACCTGCAAAAGCCTTTAAATGGTCTTTCAGTCTAGTTCTATAGGCTACACAATCATGGGGAAGACTGCTGACTTGACAGTTGTCCAAAAGACGACCATCGACACCTTGCACAAGGAGGGCAAGACACAAAAGGTCATCGCTAAAGAGGCTGGCTGTTCACAGAGCTCAGTGTCCAAGCACATTAATAGAGAGGCGAAGGGAAGGAAAAGATGTGGTCGAAAAAAGTGTACAAGCAAGAGAGATAACCGCACCCTGGAGAGGATTGTGAAACAAAACCCCTTCAAAAATGTGGGGGAGATTCACAAAGAGTGGACTGCAGCTGGAGTGAGTGCTTCAAGAACCACCACACACAGACGTATGAAAGACATGGGTTTCTGCTGTCGCATTCCTTGTGTCAAGCCACTCTTGAACCACAGACAGCGTCAGAAGCGTCTTGCCTGGGCTAAAGAGAAACAGGACTGGACTGCTGGTGAGTGGTCCAAAGTCATGTTCTCTGATGAAAGTAAATTTTGCATTTCCTTTGGAAATCAAGGTCCCAGAGTCTGGAGGAAAAGAAGAGAGGCACTTCATCCACGTTGCTTGAAGTCCAGTGTAAAGTTTCCACAGTCAGTGATGGTTTGGGGTGCCATGTCATCTGCTGGTGTTGGTCCATTGTGTTTTCTGAGGTCCAGGGTCAACGCAGCCACATACCAGGAAGTTTTAGAGCACTTCATGCTTCCTGCAGCTGACCAACTTTTTGGAGATGCAGATTTCATTTTCCAACAGGACTTGGCACCTGCACACAGTGCCAAAGCTACCAGTACCTGGTTGAAGGACCATGGTATCCCTGTTCTTAATTGGCCAGCAAACTCTCCTGACCTTAACCCCATAGAAAATCTATGGGGTATTGTGAAGAAGAAGATGCAATACACCAGACCCAACAATTCAGAAGAGCTAAAAGCCACTATTAGAGCAACCTGGGCTATCATAACACCTGAGCAGTGCCACAGACTGATCGACTCCATGCCACGCCGCATTGCTGCAGTAATACAGGCCAAAGGAGGCCCAACTAAATACTGAGTGCTGTACATGCTCATACTTTTCATGTTCATACTTTTCAGTTGGCCAACATTTCTATAAATCCTTTGTTTTTATTGGTCTTCAGTAATATTCTAATTTTCTGATATGATGAATTTGAGATTTTCATTTGTTGTCATTTGTAATCATCAAAATTAAACAAAATAAACATCTGAAATATATGAGTTTGTATGTAATGTATGAATATAATATACAAGTTTCACTTTTTAAATGGAATTACTGAAATCAATCTACTTTTTCATGATATTCTAATTTTATGACCAGCACCTGTATGTGTGTGTGTGTGTGTGTATATATATATATATATACACACACACACACATTTACATTTGTTCAGTGCTGCACTTTAAGTAATGGAAATGTCATGAAAGCTAGGCAAAAAAAAATGTCAACAATAAAAGTTGTCTAAGCCAACAGGA